AAAAAAAAAAAAAAAGTCAAAATTTTGTAGGTAGTTAGATAGCCATCAACAGGGGGAAGTTATATAACAAAAGCTATAGGATAATTATAGCTACTATAAAATCACTTGTCTTTTCCATAGATATGAAAGTAGTGCATTATTTCAAATTAAATGTATATAATTAGGGAGACTTGACAGATCCTACGAGATGTACATGTGTGTGTGGTATATTATCTCAAACATTCATATATTTTCTTTTTCCAGATTTGGTTTTATTTATTTTTTTTCTCTATATATCTTTAATGTTTAAATCTGATCAATTAAATTAAATAAATTTTATGGATTTCTGTTTCTTTAATTAAAGCTGTCAATGATTTGCTTGTCCAAAGGCCAATAAATTTTTACAGTAGGCTATATAAGTATATATGTAGCTCTTTCTAGCTGGTGTTTCAATCATCATGGCCTGTGGAAGCTGAATTAATTAAGGGCTGGCCTTCATTTAATTTTTCACTTGTTGGGAAAATTCAACTTAATTTATGTGTCCAAAAAAGAGCAAAACCAACTCCATATATTGGGGCTTTAATTTAATTCCTCTCAACCATTTCATGTTCTTTTAATTTCCTCACTCTCTTATTCTCTTTTTCCTTTTAGTTTCCTTTTGTTTTCAAGAAAATTTATGGTGAAACTCATTGGAATCCTAAGTTTTTTCAAGGAATATTATTTGTTGGGTAATTCATGTCTTCTCTTAAATAAAACCCCAAGTTTGATACCTTCAATCCCATTAATCTACACAAGGTTTATTCATTGTGATACAAAATTAAAAATCTTGGCCGGCCAATATCTTGATTTTTCAACTATCTTCTCATTTTATTTTATCTTTTAACAAGTCTCGCTCTCTCATCCCTTGTCTGCAAACGAAGCAGCTAAACGAAATGAGCCGCTCATAAGCTCATCTCGACTCGATTAGTTACACCTCCATATGCATGCAACATACGAAAAATTCATTGTAATTTTTCCTTCGCTTTTTTCATAATACACAACCGTGCACATTCCTTCTCCTTTTTCAAAGTCAAACACCAAGTGTGTAGCCCAAAAAGTCAACTCAAAATATAAATATAATATTCTCTTTCTCTCAAATCTCCACTTGTTATAAGCACTCATATGTACTTACCTTTTTTTTATCCCCTCTCAAGGTATCTCAGAGAAGAATAAAAAAAAAAAAAACAAAAAGTAAAAGGGCAAAAATAAGAAAAATGGCATCATCGTCATCATCTTCGTCCACGTCACCATGTGCGGCCTGCAAGTTCCTCCGGCGAAAGTGCCAGCCGGAATGCGTTTTCGCTCCTTACTTCCCTCCCGACCAGCCCCAGAAATTTGCCAACGTTCACAAGGTTTTTGGCGCCAGCAATGTGACGAAGCTTCTGAACGAGCTCCACCCTGGCCAGCGTGAAGATGCTGTAAACTCACTGGCTTACGAGGCTGATATGCGGCTGCGCGACCCTGTTTATGGCTGCGTAGGAGTCATTTCTCTCTTACAGCACCAGCTCCGGCAGCTTCAGATAGATCTAACCTGCGCAAAATCCGAGCTTTCCAAGTACCAGACAGCCCTACACTTCCACGCCGGCGGCGCCGCCGCCGCCGGAGTCAACGGAGGCCACCACCAGTTCTTTCCACAGCAGGCGGCGCAGGTGTTCAACGGGTACGAGCTGGCGGTGAACATGTCGGCGGGGGGAGGGGGGATCGGACAGCTGGCAGCAGCGGCGGCGGCGCAGGGGTTCCAGCAGAGGGGGGCGGCGACGGACGGCCGCCGGACGCCGGTGGAGCCGTCTTAGGGTTTTTTTGTTACCCCTGTTTTTTTATTATAAAAAGGTAAAAAAAATGGGGTTAAGGGGGGAAAAAGGTGCTCGATTTTTTGAATTTGAATTCGAACGGTTGTTGTTGTTTTTGCTGTGTTGTTTTTGTTATGTTCTTACAAAGGCGTTTGATTTTGGCTTTTGGAGGCTTATTATAGCTACTGTGGGGACTTGGATTCTACGTACGTATGATTAATATTGTTTTTAACCTACATAATATTCTGGGTTTTGTTTTGATTATTCGTTTTTTATTTTGTATTTTATGATCCGTTAGCGTTTGACGAATTCATTTGTGGCTCGTGCGTGCGCTCGATTTTTCCTTGGGCGAAAAAATGAGGTTTTAACAGTGGGATTAGGGCAACATATATATATGAAAATGAAGATGTTAGGAAAAACATTATGAGGGAGGGAGGGACAATGATGACGTAGAGTAGAGCGAGGGTGCAATGATAGCCAAGACTTTAAATGCGATGTTATTAATTAGTGCAGTAAATGCAGTGGGTCTATCTCTCTTCTCTGCATGAACATCATCAGATCAGCTGTGCGTGTCTTCTTACGTGTCTGTCTGTATAGTTATTCGAATCGAGTTGTTTTCCGGTTCGTGAAAGTTTAAGCGCGACTCGTTGATTTACTTAAAACAACTGAGGTCGAGTAGCTGATCGATGAGTCAGGAAGAAGTGGCCGTTTGTGGATGAACTTGTTGATTTAATTAGTGTTGGAGATCAACTTGTTCAGAGTTTATCAAACGAGTTGAGTTCGAGCCAGGCCTTTTTATAGTTTAATAATTGATTCGAGCAAATTCAATAACACCTTTACATCATGTTGTATCTGCATAAGGTTATAAATTTCATTAATACGATGAGATAGAGAGGGTTCATTTTGAAAATTTGAAAAAGTGTGGGGTACTATTTAGTATTTAATGGTTGGAGTTATTATGTTAGGTCAGCGAATGTTACTGCATGTGAGGCCAAGTAAGAATCCATTTCACACAGTCACAACTCTTCAAAGGGCTAAAACACACCCATTCTTAATTGTTTTCCTATATACATATGTATAAATAATTTAATTATATGCTTTTTTTGAATTATATATATATATTGGTTGTTCTAGCTCTTTTATATTTTTTTACATTTTTTTTTTCTATTTAATTTATGTCCTGAAAATGATGAAATCGAAATAAGTCCGAAAGTGGTCGGTGGGGTTTTGCGAGAGAAAAGTACATTTTTGGTCCATTAATTTGGGGTATAATTAATTAAACCCTGATCGAGTACTAATTGCAAACCTTACTACAAATTTTTACATGTACTTCTTAAGTGAATTCTCCAGACATGCAACGGTAATTACAATTTACACTTATTATTGTGTTTATTATTGTCTATCAAAATTGTTAAGTTATTGGCTACGGTCATATTAAAATCTCACAATCTTTTAATTATATAACACTATAGTTTTATATTAAATCAATTGATAGATATATATATATATATATAATATTAAATTTTACAAGACATCAATTGATAGATATATTATTAAATACTTGACACCAGAAGGGCATATGTAATTAACCTAATATTATTATAATATAACAAAAGTTTCGTTCTTATTTGGTACTTTGTGAGAGAGAAAACTTAATTAAAAATAAATAAATAAAGTGTGTTGTAATGTGTGTGTAAGGTAAGGTGCATGAAGTGAAAGGGACGGTTTTAAAGGTAGGGGGATATCCCGACAGAAGCACGACTTACGAAGACCAATGCCAAAACCCCCCAAATAAATAAATAAATAAATAATTAACCAAGCATTTATTTCGGGTTGTCCCTCTGACCCCTTCTCCTGCACCAATACACACACAATCCCTCCTTCTCTCTATACATACACATATACACACACAATATCTCCCTCTCTCTATCTATACATACACCAATACACACACACACAATTTCTCTCTCTCTCTCTCTCTCTCTCTCTCTCTCTCTCTCTCTCTCACACACACACACACACACACAC